GTATTGCCTAGCCGGCTGTACGGTCGCAGAGGCGTATTTAAAAGTAATTAAACAAACACGAAAACGGCCGGACTAGTTAGTGAAGCGCCGCCCACAGATAATCAATTCTCATAATTAATCGATACGCTTGCTCCCCCCAACTCGATGTGGACATGAAAACAAAATATCGATAACGTTCATCGCTTGTCAGACCATCGATTAGGGTCATTATCTTTTGTACACTTTTATAACTTTTTTGAAGACTTTAATCGATTTATATATGAAAATGTAAATAGCAAAGTGAAGAATAAAATAGAGAGACTATTTCTACGATTATTCGCTAACTAGTACGTATTCAAACATATAATCGAAATTACTCGTTACTAAAGTCACAATGTCTCGTATCGAATCGATAACTAATCGGCGATAGAAATCGTTAAAATTATTGGCAATAATAGCGTTGATTTACATGCTTAATTATTGCCTTAGCACTCTACACATTCTAATAAACATTCTTCACTTAATGTCTCTGTTCATAACAAGGCAGCTATAATTGAGAGAAAGTTATTGTCAGTCTAAATCAGTCGAGTTCAAATACATAGTTAGTGCTCTCTAGTTTGCCGAGAAAGGCTGTAAATGTAAAGAAAAAAGTGAGTCTTACGTAAAAAATGTAAGGTAAATTTTTTATAAACCTACAACACCAATGTTTATTTAGACATATAGGATGTGTCTAGTCCCTACTATGATACCTCATGCTCCCAGAAGTAGATATAATGTAAAGGCAACACCACATCAATGTAAGTTATCATTCAGATCGTATCAAAGGTGGATCCATGCATAATTGCCGCATTACGCGTTCAACTGCAGCTTAACCCTTAAACAGCCGATAATCTCCCGGCCTTACGAGAAGAGTTGCCATCAATCAAATCCCTTCCAATAAATATCAAGAAGCGCCATAATGATTTACGGTGCTCCCCGCACAACTTATTAGAGGTACTCTTCAACATCACGACTACAGACTTACCTTTCTTAATTTCAAACAGTTTTATATTTTCTTTTTTACAATCAATCATTGGTAAACAGGATGTTATTTAATAACAAGGTAATTGTTAAACATGTAATTGATAATTTTAAATTAATTTCGAACTGAATTACGTTATCGTTTCCTTTCCTATTATGTACATTTTTATCTATATTTATTACTGTTCATTATTGAAATAGGTATAAGTTTAGTTGTTGGAGTACCTACTATAAATTCTGGGTTCAATTCCGAAGACAATTGATTTTCGACGTTTCGAATTGTTATTACATTAATATCTGTTTCAGAGTTGATAATTAATATCTATATGATAATTTAATAAGTTCATTTACATATTGCTATCGTAGTAAGGGAACATATACATACTACGTAACCTATTTTTTTTTAGTTTTTTCGACCCCTACTTAACCTCGGTGACCACTCATAGTACATGCCAAGACACACCCCTACCCCTTTAGTTTTTACGTAGTAATTCATAATTTTGATTTTTAATAATTTCACAGGAAAATATTGAAAAAAAAAATTGGCCTATACTGTTCTTTATAGCATAAGACTGCATGCATACTTGAATTACTAGTGAATTATGTATTATGAAAAACAACAAGTAACGACTACGTGACTAAAATCTGTCCCCCCCCTCGCTCCTGTGACTGACCGTAGTATTTTAAAGACTCCGCTCCCCTAGCCCCCCCCCCCCTAAGCGTGTCACGTAGTATGGGTACGTTCCCTAATAATAAATTTGTGTTGACCATGTTATTACTTTGTAAATGATATACCTAAGACACAATTATTTGTGTCACTCGGTATTTTAATCTGCAATAACGTGGGAAGCTAAGCTTTACACCTTAGTGGGATATACATTAGCCCAGTAATATTAATATGACTTTCTGATTATTCTATAATAATATTTAATTTCTTTGCATGCCATTAACAACTTCATTATTTAAAAGTGAATTTTATAATTACAATTTAAAGATGTGTCGTTACACAAGTTTTATGTTCCCACGGATATTCCCATATTAGGAGAACATAATATTCCCCGTATTTCTAGGTTATACATGTCACTTTACAAATACAAAAAGTATTGTTTTTCTAATACTACGATTTAGAGACCTTTACCCGCCTTATCGTGCACTTAATCATTATGAGCATGGAAGTTGCGCACATTACGCCGATTACATGCTCATACTGTCTAAAAATGGCTAAAAGTATTTAGTGTGCGGGGGCTCTTACTCTGTTGCACTCCGAGAGAGACAAATATTTAATATCCCTGTTCTTTAAATATAATTAAAGAAATTAAATAATATTTTAGCAAAAAACGTATGGAATGACTCTGTGAAAGAGGACATGCGTAGGAAGGGGGTAGACTCGGATATGACGGCTGATAGAGATGTATGGAGGAGTAGTACATACTGTGCCGACCCTCGATAGGGATAAGGGCAGGTTGATGTGAAATAATATTTTAGCACACCTGTTTCAATGAAGGATAGATAAAAAATTGTTTTCTTTGTATTATTTTCAATAGCAATTGACATTTTATTAACAATTTAATAATCTTATCATCGCTATCTGAGTTTTTCATTTGATTGTTATCTGTGATTTGGTAAATTATTTTGAACCTGGTCAATATAAAATATATTTGAATTAATCGCCGACAACCCTAAGGGTATATATCTAAATTTCATCATAAATAAAAGTGTACTAAGCACCTTAAATTGGTATAATAAATTATATATCATTTCTCATATTAGATGAGCAGCGTGGAAGCAAGGAGGTTAGAAAAAAAAACGAAAACCATAGACAAACAGAAACAAATGAGGCGCACCGAAATTGAATGCTTCGTTTGTTCATTCTTATTTTAGATATGCAATATTTTTATTGTAATATCCAATTATGTTGCGCCCGGGACTGTTTCGAACTTTTTCTTTTATTTAAGTTAACTGTCTTGAACTAATTAATGATTTCCTCACAGTTGGGGATCGGGGTTATTCGTGAATGTTTTTTTGAACGGCCTTTAATTTTTTAATTGATGACCTTTTCGATTAACTAGTCAAGCTGTATAATTGAATGACTGTGTTCTCATAATACTGAAATGGAAATTTAAAACACAATAATACAAGCTTTTTACCTACGCTATAACATAATTGTCCTACTAGAAGCAAGTGTATCACCATCTCGAAGGCAACGCATCAGCGGTTCTCTAGTATTGCGGAAGTTCATGGTCGCCGATTAACACCTCGATGTCCCAACTGCTTACTTGCCCCCTTCTGTCATAAAAAAAATTCTGTTTAAGAAATAAAGATAGTCATATTTTTTATAAGTGCATAAACTCGTGTTAATTCTAAATGAACACAAACCCCACAAATATTAACTAAATCGAAATATTTATATCATTAAACAAGAATTTATCGTCAATCATTACGTCGATTACTTGAAAGTTACAATCGACAACTCTGTAGATTTACGAGCAAACAGCCGCTGGAGGAATTTGCATATGCCTTAATCACAACCATTAAACGTAATTCCAGTCATAAAATTATGAGATTTAACTTAGTTAATTGCTAATTTGTGTTTCAATTTAATAGAAGCACCGCCTAGGAACAATCTTCATTATATACAGTAACCATTGGGTGACTAATCTATCGTCATTTACAACATGGAACAAATCGTGAATACAGACATATTCTGTTATAAACAAACTAATAACGCGTTCTTTTAAGATTTCAAAAAATTATAATAAATTCTTTAATATATAACAACCCACTTACTAAGAATACGTCGCAGAGAAAAAAAGCAACGAAGATTTAAAGGTTTAATAAATGTATTATTCAAGTTCTAATTAATTTAATTCTTTGCTTGACAATAAACACGCTTAAACAAAAAAAATCTTCATCAGAATAAATTCGCGTAACTTTTACCAGCCAGTATTAAATGTGGACAGACTATACAACACATCTGACAATCTCTAACATTAGAGCGTAATAAACAAAAACGTGAGATTCCGCTGAACACGGCTGGTCAGTAATAAATTACGATATTATTATACATTAGTAGTAGGAAAGAAAGTTATTACGTGAGAGTGTTAGCAAAAAGGCTGTTAGCGACACGTGTTATTATTCCGATATTATTGCGGCCGGCTGATGGAGTCGTCACCGACTGACGATTGGCAATTATTCTGACAGTTCGTGCGGACTGTGCGCATGCGCAGTGCACACAGTAAACAAGAACTAATGTCATCCTAGCAATGCAAATGTTAAAAAAATATTTACGTATAGGATAAAAGAGATCGACACAAACTTATTTATCTTTTTGTGTAATTAATTCAGAATGAGCAAAACATACGTTATATAAAGGAAACTCTTGTAAATATAATATCTTTTGATCCTACTAGATATATAACTATAAACTGTGTAGAACTAAAGTAGCATAAATAAATCTGTCAAATAAAGCACTTTAAAATGAAAGCGTGCATTAGTTTGTAGCCAAAAGCATTCGTACCTTTGTTCCTTGTATATTCCTAATATTCTTCAAGAATTTTAGTAAACGAAACGTAACTACATTAATTTGATTTCGTTATTTATATCCATAGAATATCACTTGTAAATATAAGTAAATGATCCTTTATCGAATATCATCAATAAGATGTTTAACTCTTAGAAATTGTAAGAAAATGCCGCGGGAAATGCTAACGACGTCAAGCAATCAATATTTCATTATAATATACGACATAAATACAATCAACAACACGACGGACAGAGTTCCCACGTTTACATAAAAACATATCTTTCGTCACTTTGGTTATTGTAGGTCTATAACATTACACTAATACTCATCAAACGGTCACAAAAATTCAATTACCAATAACTTACTGATAGAACATACGTATAAAGGAACGCAATAATCAATGATTATGTTAGAAAAAAAATAAACAAGCCGCTCACGCAAGCAAACGGGCTTGATTAGGGCCGATGTCACGCCGATAAAAGCCATAAACTCGAAAATTGAAAAGGTAAGCTCATTAAAAATGCAATATTTTATGATTTTTAAGCAGGCAGGTGAACTCTATGATTAGTGTAGGGTGACCATGGTATGAGTAGACATCATTTTACACTTCAAATTTCATCTTTTATTCTATTAATAGTAATAAATACAAAAAAAAGGTTAATTTTGTTTTTATAATAACACAAAAATTTAACAAGACTAACATAGTGTAAAATAGAAAAAATATACAAATAATGACCACTTTTACCTTTGATGTTTTTCGAAGTCATTTTTTTTTGTAATTTCTTTTGCATTTTGTGTCCAAAATCTCAACTCCAGGTTCCTATTCCCTACTAAGGCAAGGCGTCACATTTTGTAGTAAACCTGCTTTATAATTCCTCTGTGAACGTAGTAGGACTTATCCTATCGTATTTAGAGTGATCGTATCCACACATGGCCGCGTAGGGCGCACCCCGCGGCGCCTATCTAATGAAATAAACTGAAAATCAACACGGCTCAGACCGCGGCCGCGCTTTGTGTCTCCGCCGCTGGACCATCACGATATAATTAACACCGGAATTTATAATAATACTGTCCCGCAATATCTCATAATGCGTGGACACGGCATTATTTGATCACAATTTTGATAGTTTTTGTACTAACCTATAGGGATTGAAAAGTTAAAATTGATCTAAGCTATAATAAGAATAGATTTCCATGACAATGTACAATGATATTATATTTATTAAAACTCTAAAGCAAAATATATATATATATATATATATATATATAGATTTTAGGTTAGAATTCACAACATCAAATTTTGGTTCCGTCTAATACCAACTAGTTTTTTTTTATCGATAGCATAATGATAAAATATCGTACTACAGTGTTTTGTTATTGACTTATTCAAATGAGATAACAGATTTAATTTTCAATTTGAAGTTGTTTGATATTAATAAGTACAATATTTCATCGTGCCCACAGTAGGCCAGCGCTCTCTGTCTACTATCTAACGAATTGAATTAAACTCATGTATCATTTGACTGAGCTCCGACCTTTGCTTGTAATCGCGTCCTTATTCTGAGGCGCTTTGTACAAGGCGACCTAAATGGAGCGACTGGATTGGTCGATTAAAGAACAAAATGTCGGCTACACGAACCTGTGCATGAAGATCTATGACAGTGTTTTACATGAGTCGCCGGATTCCAAAGATTTACGTTGCTTTGTATACAGAAAAAAAAGGGCTTTTGTCTGTATTTTTCTTAGTTTATAAATAAAAAATAGTTTATAGCTATTTCCATATAGTAAATAAAGTATATTATTTAAGTAATAAATAAAATAATTATGCACCACTTAATAAATACTTTAATTTATAAAAATAAATTATGAAAGCGAAAGAATAATCATTTTATGTAACTACTTATATGTTTTAAAGACGTTTTCGTAACGATATCGTTGGACGCAACCAGAATAAGGCTCCGTAGCGCTAATACAGCATAACGGTTGGGGTGCGCGCAGCATGGCGCCTGCTCCAAATATTAGGCAGCAAGGAAATACTATGGCGATAATCGATTACGAATCGCAGGTGCAAATAATTATATTTCTCCGCCAATAAAAAACTCCGCAGGTGCCTTTCTGATGTTGTTAAAATAAACAATTAATTATAATATGATAATGTAAATATATAATTAAAAACTTCTTAATATTACAAAGTAATTGAGCCTTAACAGGACTAGATATAAAATGAAATCTACATAAATAACACAAAGGATAATTTCAATATCTTAATTAAATATTAACCATGGGTTTCTGAAACGGAAATCTCCATTTAAAACATATTGTAATCTCTGTTTTTTCAACAATACTGATATGACTGTATGTTTTATATAATATAAATTTTGGTCTCGGAAACCCACGGTCAATCAAATTGCATATCGTCAGAAAACCTTATGTCATGGCCGTCGTGTTAGCTTCTTTCTGACAGATACATGAAAGTTATTTTAACTTTTATAACTATTTAGGAACTTTAATAAATACTTATCATAAAAAAACAATAAATATTGTTATTAATGTTTTTTCTTGCGTCTTCAGTTGAAGATGCTTTACGAAAATTAATATAAAATGATTTATTATTACAAATTGTCTGTAAGTTTCTTCTCTATTAGATTAACCCATTAGTGCATAAAGTTTATTATCGCCTTTTTCATTATGATCATTCATTTCGAGTGTATTTGTCCATTAAATTGTATAAAATATTTAATCAATATGAAAGTTTAGATTTTATAGCCCGTCCGATAAATCGCTTCCCGGAATGTCATACCAACAGTATTACCACTTCAAATATATATTACACTACTGTTTATAAAAAATAAACGGTTAGTAAAATATATATAACTCCTAAAATAACAATTTGATTGGCGTCCGATTTATCGAACGTTATGCACTAATGGGTTAATATATAAATAAGGAAAGAAAATATGTAATTAAATTTGTGTAGGATTAATCGTAAGATAGAATCTACATAGATTAATAAACACTAGTTTTAAATTATCGATGAGACATTTACCTTAAAATCATTCCCTGTCCAAAACATATAAGATATTTAACACAAAATTATTCTCTCTATTTAAAAATTGAATCATATGAAGACATCAAAAAATAGCTTGATTCGTGGATAGCCTCAAAAGACGAACACTTCTGGCGTCAAGGTATTCGAGCTCTACCAGAAAGATGGGAAAAAGTTGTGTCTAGCGATGGGCAATACTTTGAATGATTCATTTGTAACCATTTTTTAATAATAAAGTTATATTTTTATCGAAAAAAAGCGAGAACTTAGTTGCACACCTAATAGTAATGGAAAATAATAATCAAATAGTGAAATAACTAAGTAACCAACTTCAAACAGACGTCATAGGTACAGCAATCCGTCACAGATTTCTTCAGTGTGCCCTGAGCGTTACACATAATGAGTTTACCGGAAAATTATAGCAGACAATTAGCGCTGTCCGCTTTAAATGGACATTAATACTAAGGTGAGCGATGGCACGCCTCAGGCACCTGTCACTGCTACCACCAGCTTACCTGCAACTTTAAAATCACAGCTAATCCAAGACCTTGACGTGTCTTCTTAAACTGGTTACGGTTACTCTAAGCCCTATTCATTTGCGTTGTTAAAATGATTGACATATTCAATTAGCGAGGTGACCGACAGACCTCCCAACTCGGTTCATAGATGTACAATGACCAATTTAAATTGAACTTTCAATTTTCATACATGTTCTCTTTATGCGGAACAGTGAGGGGGAAGGGTGGGTCAATTATAACTGGTAGGTTGTAAGGCACAGGTCGTCCCGCGGTTTGAATGTTGTTTTCTGCAATTACTGGAGGTATGGCGTGTCTTTAGTTTAATAGGCCTTTCAGCGTTGCTTTCATTTTGATTAAGTGAAGAGTTCGTTTTCATATTGAGACTCGTAGAGTTTGTAA